GATATTAAAAATGATCCAAATCAGCAAAATAAATACAAATTTAGTGGCAGATTAACTTTGAAGGAAAGGACTCACTTCAGTGAAATTAGAGTATGGCAGAATTGTGGGACGAGTCTCTCCATCTTTCCTGTATGGCTCTGTCAAACTTGGAGTACAGAACAAATCTGCATCTGCAAGAGTTTTGCCACTTCACCTGAAAGAGAACATGTTAAATTTCAACCAACAGAATCATTGGCATTTATTTCACTAATGCTATGGCAAAAAAATGAAGCCTGTCCCACATTATTAATAACAGGAGTATGCCTTAATTTTACCATCAAGTACATAAGCAGGTTTTCCTCTGGAATGCAGATCTCAACTCAATGTACATGTTAAAGGGCTTTTCCTTGGATAGATCAAATTCTTGATAATTTAAAAACAAACATTGGAAGCACTAACTAGTTAATTTTGGGTGCATTATATGAATCCTAATATCAAGTTTTTGCATGCCAAGAAACTTCAAGACACGAAATTATGAGAACAAAAATGTCTGTCTATTAGTGTTTGCCGCAATTCACTATCTGATCCATCTTTAACTCTCTTCAACTCCAGGAAGTTAGTATCAGATCTTAAGTAACTAAAAGAATAGATTGTCTCGAGGGTGAGCACAGAACCACAGTAATAAAGAAAACAATTCCATCTTACTTATATAGTTTCAAAGACAACTTGTATCAATGTTCGACATTTGTTATAGATATTTTCCCATCACCGAGTTTAGTTTCAGAACAAAATGGATAATGTAGCAAGAATCAGCATTCAACAGATGGAGGAAATGTGACACAGCCTAGATTTAGCAAAGATTTAAAGGGCATGAAATCCATAGACAAATCAGACCTCAATAATCTTAGGACAATCGATTATGTCACCAAACTCTACTGGTCACATTTCATAGTCCAGTATAAAATTTGATGTTTCTTAGGTCACGATTTGGTGTGAAGCTGTTGGTGATACCAGAGATCAATTTCTTCCATCACCTGGTGGATATTTGGAAAACCACATCTGTGAGAGTTCAATCATATTTAAGCTGTCAGTAGAGGAAGCATTGTAGGTTGGTGATAATTGATTCACAAAATGTTGTGATATTATGGTGTACTTGAGCTAGTCCATCTTTGTGTTTTTTTCCACCCTTTACTACAACCATGCTTACACAGTTACCGTTTTCTTCCTTTACAGACTATCTTATGCTATGTTTGGCGTAATATTATCGAAATACAAACCAAAACTTCTTAATTACTTTAGTTAGTTGCACAAGTTTGAATCCATCCTTCCCAAGAATATTTGTTCTTTCATACATGTATGACACTCTGCCATATAGTAATGAGGATTAAAGCATGCATCTGACCATATCTAAGGTTGATTATACTAAGGCAACTAGATGTTGGATTTTGGAACCTGATTTCTTATGAGATGATCTGTAATAACAGTTGTTGTTTTCCAATGCAAATGAAAGATTATTGAATATTGGTGCTTCCCCGCTTCAAGAGCACATCTTTCATTTGCACATCAAAATTTCAGGAGTTGAGGTTGGCGAAGAACAGAAAAGGTTGAAAAAAAATGAATTAGAAGAAAAGGAATAAGAAAAATAAGAAGATTAAAAGAAGAAGAAAATGATGATGATAAGAAAGAAGAAGAAGGAGAATAAGGAGATGAGGATTGGAAGAAGAAGAATTACGTTAATTAGAGAAATAAGAAGAGTAAAACGAAGAAGAGGAGCCAACTTTATACAAGTAATACAGCCAGGAAGTACTCATTGGCTTCTGTTTCAGTGACAGTTCCTAATTCACTTCGATTATGCAACTAGTGGTTGTCTTCATCCAATGCAGTATGATGCCAAAACTATCAGCCGAGCTCATTGTCAAACTAAAGGCCTCCTCTTCCTAAAACAAAAGAACCTCCCTTTTAGTCCTTTTTCTTCGAGCATTTGATGGGAACTGTGCCTTTTGTCAAGGAAGGTGTCCTCGAAAATAGAATTGAAGGATAAAGAGAAGAGGCTAGAAGAAAAAGAAGAGATCAGAGGAGAAATAAAAATATAGAGAAAGTCTAGAATAAAGAATATAATTAACTAATACTTGATCAAGTCATAAATTGTAAAGAAGACAAAAACACCATCTATGCAGCTAAAGCTCCAACCTACCTAACAGAAAGTAAGTTTTGGTATCTAAACGCATGATCTCATCATTCTTGCCTGTGTGCAGAGAAGACAAAGTTGCTTTAAAGCTTAAGGTTTAAACCTTCTATCAAATTTGAGTATAAACTTGCATGAACTAATTCATAGTGATTTTCCAATAAGATAAATTCAAAAAAGATGCAAAAGAGATCTTGGTGTTGATGCTGGCACTTTCATGCCGTAGATCTTGAAGAGGTGGTGACATCAAAGGAACTAAAGATACTTTTGGAAGATAACATAATATATGTGCCTACAGATATCACGGCATGTGATAAACATACAAGAAGGATTTGCTATTGAGCAATGTGCCTCTGTGGAATACATGTTGTGAATGTAAACAAGCAGGCAAGAAGAAGTGCTCTTTGTTCCCTTCCAATAATAATAAAGATTCAATATATGACCTACCTTTTTTCTCTACCATTCACCAAAATCTAAGTTGATGCTTATCACCAAATTATATAGCTGACTTTTAACATTTCTTGTCACTTTGTCTCATTCGATGGTTGATCATTTCAACTATCGCTTTCCATCCATTTCCTTATCTCGATACACTATTATTTTTCTTTGTGGCTTTGTTCAACACCTTGGTTGCTGAATAGCTGTAGATTAAGACTTGCAGAACTGAAACTGAGTTCATTAAATTGGAAAGAAGAAAGCATGTGGTGGAAGCCACTGTAGACATACCAGAAAAGAAGGAAAAGTTGATTGGGAGATCCATAGAATTCTAAATTATTTCGGCTTCTTCATTTAGCACTCTTTTTCTGACTTGTGCCAGTCAAAGAATATCAACACCAGCTTCAATATCCTAAGAATGAACACTAAATGCTTCTATTTCATAAACAGTTTGCAGTTCATGGTTTGACCTAATATTTTCAAACGTATGACCAGTTTCAGCAAAAGACTAATGATCCAGAAAATGAAAATTATCATGCTGAATAAACTCATCAAATCATGTTAAATGCTTCATGCCCTTGGACAAATCTTAATATGCGGCTTTAGTATCTATTGCAGTATATGCATACAGATAACAATCCTTGTCTATCCTAATAATAAACTGTTTTACATGGATTAATGAAAGAATACATAAAGAACAATACACAAATATGGCAGGTGAAGGACTATAACTTCTGATGCAAAATATTTGGAATGAAGTCATATACAGTGGCAGTGTGGATCTGAAAGAGCCTTGCAGGCGGGAAAAATCTTGGTTGTGGCATGTGCACTTGCGATAACGACCTCAGGATACAAGGTCTTTGACATGAACATTAAAACAGGACCGCCTGCAGACTTCACCTAATTCAAATCATCAGGGGCCGTCCTGATCGTAGAGGCATGATTTGTGTCAATTTGAAGGATATGGAATGAGTAATGTTTCCCCAGTGAAAATGGACTCCACCAGTCTTCTTTCATTGGAAACTAGTACAGATTTAAGAAGTGAAGAACGTGATTTTCGCCAAAGTCTGGGATGGGTGCAACATTCCTTTTTATCCTCATAGCTGTTGATTGCTTTGTTCTTGTAGTTCCATCTGATACCTTGAGTGATGCAGCTCATGAATATTTCCGGAACATTTCCGTAATATGAGTAAGTTGTGATAAATGAAGACAGTGTCGCTGGTGAGATCCCAAGCACAACTGGTGCAGAGATATTCTCAAGTCGTTTTTTATGCAGTCATCCATGTGTATAACCTTTTCATCTCTTATCGATAGGTCAAGTTATTCACATTCTTCATTCGAGTGATTAAACCTCAATTTCAAGTAGCTACCATCAGGCCCATCAGGTTGACTTACCAATAGCAACCCGCACGAAGATTGGATCATTTGACTTTGTATGCTATCTCTTCAAATTAACCACGTGTTTCGTCGCATTCAATTTGGCAGCAGTGAACTGATTTTATTTTAGTGTAGATTGATTTTTCAATGAGAGGGAGTCCAGAAGAGAACCGCATGATGAAACATTGCAGGCATAATTCTGGCAGAAGGCTGGTGAAGGAAGTCCTGGAATTCCTTCTACTGCTGGACCTAGCTTCCACTGTGGTACAAGTGAAGCAACCTCTCGATCAATCATATCTGCTATTATAGTCACATCATACTCTGTAATATCTAACTCTGCTACCATCTCGGTGGCGACACTCATTGAAGTATCAGCTTCAATGTCAAAGAGGAAATAAACGTTTCGTACATGACCTGCAAAACAAATCGTAAGACTTGGTTTCCTCAAATCTTTTATATCAAAGAATCAATACAAGAAAAATTACACTATTACCATCTTTGTCTGAAATCCTTAGCCTCAAGAAGATGATCCCGTCTTCTCTTCTATTTCCTTCGATTGTAATGTCCACATTAGCAGGACTCGCATCTTCGTGACTGTGGAAGATGTCTGCTCTCTGCACTCGAACATTGGTGGCATCATAGCCCCAGCTATTCTCCAATTCCATCTCATGGCAAAGACTGTTTGCATGCTCATTAGCGGTCAAGGAGCATTTAACTTGAATAAATTCAAGGGAAGGTTTCCTCAGAATATGACCGATACTGCTGACGTTTCCTTCAACATAATGAAAACCAAAATCATCGACTTGAAGAAAAGGATCATTAAGCAGATCCCTGGCAGAAAACCTTTCAGATGCTGCGGCAAGACATTTTTCAACAAATTGCCTTACCCCAGGGTCCTTCACTCTATACAAAGCTTCAGGTTTGGTCCTCTAGAGGTAAAATCAAGGCTATCCTTACTGATACAATAAACATAACAAGAAAGCATTACAATTAGTCTTGAATATTGAGATTTCTTACAGAGATAACTTTCTTGTATATCTGCACAGGGTGGGCGCATTCGCTGTAAGGGTACTCGAAAGTGACCATTTCCAAGACGCACATCCCAAACGAGTATATGTCCACTAGTTCATTGTATTCCTCCTCATATACCTCTGGAGCCATGAACTCTGGTGTTCCTGCCGACAATTCAAATTACCAATAAGAAATGGATGCTCATCATGATAGAACAGGCAGAAGATCGATGGGCGAAATCTGCAAAACTCTTTGAAGTTTATAATTGGTGTCTACAGCGACCATACCAACACAACGGACAGCAGGTGAATTCTGGAGTATAACAGCTAGGCCGAGATCACCGATCTTGACCTCACCTTGGTTCCCATTAATGAAGATGTTGTCACACTTGAGGTCCCTGTGGATGATAGTGGGGTCATGGCTGTGGAGGTAACGAAGGCCACTAAGGATCTGCCTACACCAATGCTTTATTGCCCTGATATTAACCCTTCTGTGCTTTTGCCTATACCTATATATCCACACATTTCTTACATGATTACAAGAAAATGTACAACAGTCCATCAAAAAGTTCACAAGAGTTCTTTCATCAAACATCTTGCTGAAATAAAATAGCAGAAGGAACATATCAGCTTACTGCCTGAGAGTGCCAGAGGAGAACAACTCAGTAACAAAATTGATGTTCGAGTGGCAGGTGTCCAACCAAGAGGCATAAAACCTCATAATGTTCTGGTGCTTCAAAGTCTTGAGAAGGTGGATCTCACAATAAAGCCTCTCCAGGTTGACAGGGCTCTTCAGGAAATCATGGAGCTGCACTTGGTTCCAGGCAACCTCAGTACCTTCATACTCATCAAAAGCCCTATAACTGGCATCACATTACATGAAATCAAAGAAGGAAAAAATAGTAATTAACTCCTTAAATGAACAAAGAAATTCAATATATTGAGCATGTGGAGCAACAGGTGAAAGTGTTCATACACTGTCTTTGAAGCTCCCCTGCCAAGGATGTCATTGTACTACAGAGAAGAAGAGAAAGAAACCAAACAAAAAGATGAGCACTGCTCCAATAAGCATTAACTGAAAACTGAAGGAGTTGGAAGTGCAAGTACTCTGCCATATCTTCCAGTGGGATCAACCTCCACAAATTCTGAGTGATGTGGTTCTTGGACTTCAACACCCATCATTCTGTGGAGGACCATGAAGGGGAGCAAGAAGGCAAGTGTAGCCAGGCACAGATGGAAACACTTGGTCTTTGGCACCTAGAAGGAGATTGGAGGGGAGAAGTGGGAATTATAGGCAGAGTAGTTGAAGGATGATGGGAGATTGGAACCATGAAATCCAACTTCTAGACACAGACATGCTTACTAAATAAAGATTTGGATTGAAGGGATGGATGGGGGATTTTGGGAATAGCTTTGGGGAGTTTCACATAAACAATAATATTAATTTTTTTGTAGCTGAACAACAAAGCTGTTTCATAATATCATCTCAATGGGGAGTGAGTGATGCCTTCCCACTGGTGAATAAGAACAGATGAAGAGTCCAACTTTAAATCACATCATTCTTATATTATATTTTTTTATATTAAATTATAAAAATATAAATTTTGATTAACATATTAATTAGATTAATTTTATCATCCAATTTATGAGATTGGATTCTTCCACATTGTTATTATATAGTTAAGAATTTAAAGCTTTCAAATTTGAACTATTTAAATATTATTAAAAAAAATAAATAAAGAAAGAAATTAACTAATTCAAGCCTTCAATTTTATGTTTTTGAAGGCTTCCTCAAGGAGTTTATCTCCACCATGATAGAAAGAGATGAACAGAACAAATCATGTAATGAACAAGCTATCTTGATGAAGATTAATGGTATACTCCCCAACATGTGGCAACCTTGACTCTTGAGATAGCTTTGTCAGACATTTCTCTCACTACCATAAATAAGTTTGTGTTGTTATGGAAATTTGGGTACATGTAAATCTCAATGCCACAAAGCATCATAAAGTGGGTTGAAAGAGTGAAGTCTCTCCCAATGAGTCTCCAAAGTACTGTATTAGATATCATGTTCTTTTTGTCTGCATCAATCTCTTTGAGAAGTGCAGGTGGTGCAAGTTTTCCACTCATGCAAGGTGTTCTCTTTTGTAGATAGACTGTCCAAACTTATCAGCTCAATTTTATTGGTTTCATATGGACCCAAGTAATTTTTTTCATTTTATTTTTATATTAATTCACATCCAATGTTCTTCCTCAATTCAACAACAATTTATTTCCCAAATAATATAATAATGAATGAAAATTCGAAATCGGACCGACGACAACAACGACGATAAAAGAAAAAAAAATCGATATCACTTTTTTTCGTCCATTATATCATATCATGAAAAAAATAATATAAATATCATGTAAATAATATTTTTAGTATTTTAGTGACATAACAACTAAAGGGGATGCTAACTATCTTAAGATGGGTGTTTTCTTGGGATAATTAACTTGAGTTGGATGAAGCTGAGATATGAAGGGGTGGAAGAGGAAGAGTGAGGGGGATTGTTGGAGTGGGACAGAATGGCACATTGTGTGCATGCTTTGATCACCCAAAAGCAACCTTCGGAGAGGGGAAACACCACGACAATTTTGCCTTCTTCCTTCCCTGCCAATTTGCCGGTGTTGATTGACATAAATTACATGCTTCCTTCGAACCTCATCAGTATTCTAAAAATATCAAGGAAAAAAAGGTCAACAAGGTGTAGGTCATGCCACCTTCTTAGAAGTCAAAGAAAACATGGCATTGAACTTTCTGTATGTGAGATGGTGCCAATTGATTGTAGTCATCAGCAACATATCAATTTCGGCAGCAGCGTTTGACTTTGCACAGTACGTTTAGCACTGGCATTAATTAGGCCTAACCAATTTGATTAATCACCTTTTTCTCGACTAACAATAGGGTCATGTTTGAGTTTTCAAGCTTATTTATTAATGCTTTCGGAGATAACACGATGAAACAATATAAACCATATACCCTAAATCCGATATAATCATATTTGGTTCGGAAAGATGGAGTGACATGTATATTGTTCGCGAATTAGAAGGATGATATGTGCATCTGATATCGATTCAACGCATCATCAACATGATTTAAAACTATTTTACAAAATTTATGAATGTAGTATATAGTTGGATGATACGAAAAATGAAATCTCCTCCTCACTTAAAAGGTTTTTTTAACTTTCATTGTATCATATCATTTTTGAGCTTTGTGTTTTCTATTTCTCTATTTTCAATTATTTTCTCATCTTGAGTTTTTTTTATCTTGTTTTTGGAGTATGTGCTATATTGAATCTAACCTCGCATTAGAAGTTCTTTCGATATTGAAAAAGAATAACATTTCCCTCTTCAACCTTCGTAAATTTACAAAAGAAATACTCAGAAATTTTCATACCACATAGCAAGATCTTAGATGCAATCAATTCTTAATTTTCAAGGTTCCTTCTTTTTCAACAGCATTTGAAGTTACTTCTCATGTTCATATGAAATTGATCAGATCTTCAGAAACTAGAAGTGTTAGAGAGAGAGAGAGAATGGTACTCATATAATGTAAGAAAACTAATGCCAGAAACGAGATATGTTATCTGATACCTTTGTTGCTTTGATTTGGCATCTAAGTTAAAGTTATAATCTTATGTTCCTATGAGATTGATCAGATCTTCATGAACTGGAAAAGAGAGAGAGAGAGAGAGAGAGAGAGAGGTCATCACATAATGGAAATAACTATAAGATGTGAGATATGTTATTTAACGCCATTTTTCTTTAAGGTTGGCATTTTATGTAGCTGAAGTTTAGTTTATATTTCTATGATATATTAGATAGTAGAAACTGGAAATGTG